CCGGGCCGGCCGCCTCGCGGGGCTGCGTGCGCGCTCCGGGCTGAGCCGGGCCGGGCCGGGCCGCACTGCCCCTTCCGCGGGCTCGGCTCGGGCGGCCAGTGAGCTCGTGCCGCCGGGGCCGGGGCCGGGGCCGGGTGGGCGCCGCCTCCCCATCCTGCTCCCCACGCCGGCCCGTGGGCGGTCTTCGGAGTTGCCTCCCGCAGCCGTGGGGCCGGGGCGGGACAGGTGAGCGCCCCCCGACCGTGACCTTGAGGGCGCTCCGGGACCCCCGGCGCCTCGGGGGCCGGAGTTTCGGTGGTCTCCCCTACCCTTCCTTCCCGGCGTCTATTCGAGGACCCCCCCCATCCCCCTTGTCACGCGCGCCCTTGGCTTTGGTGGGTACGGAGGAAGGCTCCATCATGCCGGGGTGGCAGCCCTCCCGGTCCCCCGCTGCTGGGCTGGGGAGAACCTGTAGCTTGAGCCCGCCCCGACCGACGCGTCCGTGCCGGGTTTGGTGGCGAGAGTTCGGCGCGGGGGCCGCGGACCACCCGCCTGCCTCCCCCCCCACCCCGTACCCGCGGACCCGCAGGACCAGGGGCGCGGGGATAGCCGGGGGGCCCCGCGGCCGGGCAGGGCAGCTCAGTCTGCCTCAGTCCCCCTTTACTGCTCCTCGCTGTCTCCGTGACATGTGTGACTTGTGCTCGTGTCACTCGTTATGAGGATAAACTCATTGGCGGAGGGCGGACTCGCCCCGTGCCTGCGCGGCGGAGGCCATTGTGGAATCGATCCCCTCCGAGGGCTCTCCACCTGTGGGCAATCGTACTGGATCCCTTCCTTTGTGTGCGAGGATCCCGGAGCCCCGCCGCGGCCTGGCGCCGGCCGAACTGTCATCTGCCCGCCGGGCTCCGGCCGGGCCACGAGAGGGCATGAGGGGCCTGGGCCCCGGCGGGATGCGGGCAGCGGCCCCGAGTGACCGGGCTCGCTCTGGCCGGCTCCCGCGCGGGGCCGGGGGGTGGCGGGCTGGGGAAGCCTGCTTCTCCGCCTGCCTTTCGTGAGTGCTCATAGCTGGGAGATGCCAGGGGTTTACGGGAACGTTGTTACTTCGGGACCTTCCGGATGTTTAACCTTGCTTTGGATGATTCCGTGATCTGGGCATGATTCTGGGTGGATTTCTGCTGTGATTTTGTTTTGGGTGTTAACTGCAAGGATCCTTGAACAGTCACTGTTATTTCTTAACATATACTCTGCAAAAATGAGTCACAGACGGGTGAGTTAAGGACAGAACTCCACCTTTTAGCTGAAAATTCCTTGACTTAAGAGTGTTATTCTTGACAATGTAATTTGCCTTTAACTAGAATGCTAATTTCAGAATATGATTTTTTTTCGTATCTATGTTTTGTGTTTGCAGATACTGAGCTTCAGTGTGAGTTTGTGGTATTGAGCTTTTTCACTTAAAAAAACTTTGGCTACTGAAATTTCATTTGAATATACATAAGACATAAGTGGATATAAAGGGAAGTAATTCTTCTTTAGTTTCATAGGTGCTAAAATATGTGTTCCTATTTTTATTCCCTGTTCTTTCCATTGGGGGGGAGGTGCGGTTCAGACCTGTAGGTATGTGGCAAATCCTAATTAAGCCAGGTTTTTAACTGGAGTATAGGAACGGGTTCTAGGCTGCAGTGTGTTCGGTTTGTTTAGTTATTTACATATATATGCAAATATATTACATATATATATATATACACACACATAATTTTAATCTTTGAGGCAATGAGAGTACTAGTTTTGGGGGGGTAAGAAAAAAAGGAAATTAGCTGCATTAGAAAGGTGACATACTTTAGAAGTAGTCTTTAACAGCATTGTTACTGGTGCCAAGTTGATTTTTTTAGTTGTTTGATCTGCGTATGGACAAAATGACAAATTTTGCAAGATTTCCACAGAAATGTCCATTTAAAAAATTTGCTTTTATTAACAAGTGAAATATCTAGTTGGGGGCAGTTTTATTTAAAAGTGCATCCTAAGTTATTCTTTCCATATACAGTATATATGAAGTATTTAGGGTTACAGACTGAAATGGGAGTTTTAATTTTAAGCTCAAGTTTTAGAAATTGTTAGTTTTATTACAGTTGAACTTCATGGGTGGGTAGGGACAGGTTCCCCATTAAAAATCCCAGATAAGAGGAAGGTCCTGAGTTAGAATTTGCAAGGTCAGTCTCACTATTTTAAAATAATAGATCACAGTATATAGAGTCCAGAAAACACTTTTCTCCCTAAAGACTTGTGAAGGTTAATAGGACAAGAAATGTTTTTGTCCCCGTTTTTACAGGGGAAAGAAATTGAGGCTCAGAAAAGGTTAAATGGCTTGTCCTTGTTCACACAATCAGAAATCATCCAAGACCAGCTCTTTTCCCTGTTCCTCACTGCTTCTGGAATATTGTGAACTGGTAACTTAGCACTTGTTTACTCATGTTGTATGTACAGTTCTTAAATATTCTGTGTATTCTAGTGCTGATGAAGCAGCAGTTTCATGTTCATGTGTTTATGTTTTCTTATCAGCATATTTACATTTTAACCCTGTTCATTGGCTTTCAAGGCCACAGTTACCTATTCAACCATGTCTTTATCTCATGGATAAAATTGTACTCTTGTCATTTGATAAATATGAAAGATTAGTCTCATCTGCTTCGTGCATTATGGGGAGCATTATATTATAATATGCAGTATAGAGTACAACCTTCCCACTCAGACCTCACTTAACACTGTTTTACAACACTTTAATACACTTAAGTAAAATCATAAGTAAGTTCTGTTCAATTCTATCTTCACCCCCTATTAGATTTTAAGCTTCATGAGGCCAAGTGTCTTGTCTTACCTAAAATTTGTAATCTTGCTCATAGCCTTGCTGTAGCCCAGGGCTCTTGAGAGAAGCACCTAATAGATGTTTGTTGAATGAAAATCTATGTAATATGAAGATAGCAATAGAGATAGAATTAGCTTTATTTATGAAGGCTGAGGGCATAGATAAATACTTCAGCTATGTGTACTGTCTTGCTTATAATTTATATCTAAATATGTCTATATGCACACATGTTCTACTAATTCACATGTAACATTTTGGATAAGAATAATTTCAAAAACCTCTTCTTTAACATGTTTTACTGTTACATTGTAGTTTTCTAGTAGTCTTTGCATTTTCACAGATATACAGACAGGCTTGATTGTTTGAAGTTTCTTCTCAGTTTAAGATTGAAATACATTTTTTAAAAAAAAAGAAACTAAGGATGCAGAAAGACTAAAGCATGACTAAAATCTGAATAAGTGTATTCTGGGGGGAGAGTTCAAAGAAATATTCATTTGCAAGTATTTAAGGTACAGATACAGATTATGTTAGATGGTAGTTTGCTTTGGTATGTGAGAGATTTAGACTTGTGTTGAGTTAATTTATTGTAATTGTGGGTGTAATTCATATTAAAAAGATGTAACTTTTAAAGGAAGGTAACTGATTACATCTCTTCAGAACGGGCAGAAGAATACACTATATTGAAATATATTGCTGCTGGGACAGAGACATAAACATGGTAATTTAATAAATAGATTTCCATTCAGTGTTTCTCTTCTTGATTTTGATATACATATACATATGTTTATACACATGATTTATGTGCCTGATTTTTCAGGCTTTTAAAAAATAAACTTCTGTTTAATTAGAATGAATATATTTTTACTTGATAATTTATTTTGTGGAACCAGTCTCTTTACATGGTACAGATGCTACTTAAATTTTTGCCGAGGCTTAATGAAAATCAATTTCTAACATGAGCAAATTGAATAGTATAATACAGATTTTGTTTAGCTGTAGGCATATAAATGTGAGCATTTCGGACAAATACATGCATTTTTATATTTATTTTAATTAAAGCAATTGGTAAATTGTTTCCTTAAATTTGAAGTACTGCTTAAATAAGATTGAACATCCTTGCAATATTAAACTGCTTTTGATCTTTTGGATTTGATTTTCAAACACAAGAGTTTTCCATTTTCTTGTAATTGCCCATTAGTACATGAAGTGACTAGGAGGTGGACAATCTTGTCATTATTCTATATTAAAAATGAAGTCTTCTATTTTCCTCTTTAAGCACCTCTGTCATTTTATTTCTGAGGCACTTATTTTCACTTTGTTGATACAAGATGCTAAATATACTGGAGCCTTACTAAAATCTGTGATGTAATCGTGTTTATTGTAAAGCAGATACATTTTTAACATGGGCCCATCCAAGAGATATTAGTTATTGATACTCCAGAATGTCCTTCAGATTCACTTAGAAGGTGGTTTCATGACACTGCCCAAGGACAACATTATGTGAAGACTGCAGATTAGAGAGAAACATTGATATGTCAGAAATCACAGCTGGCTTAGAACAGAATTGATTTGTGCTTGCAGACAGTGTAGTCATTCTCATAGGCTAGGTGTTGATTTTGGGAGACAGCTCTCATGGCTCTCTAATCTTGGTCGTTGTTGATCATGTAGAAATATTTCTATAAAATCTGTTCTACACATTCTCTTTTCTAAAGACCAGCCTATTTGTACTTATTGAGCATTGTTAAAATCTGTCAAAATTTAGCCAGTTCAAAATTAAATATGGAAATTTTTTGTTTGTTTTCAAATGTAATATTTAAAGGCAAATTCTGCTCTGAGCTTATCATAGTGATTACTAGTCTCTTCTTTAGGGTTAGGAAGGGAATAAAAAATCTCAGAGTTGGAAGTTACCTCAAAGGCCATCTTTTCTAATTTCTTCCTTGACAAGAAAACCT